GCATTCTGTTCTATCTTATTTTTTTCTAAAATTAGTTAAAATTCCGAGGAATTGAGTTTCTGTACTTTGACTGTAAAATAAGAGAGATGAAGATAAAAATTGAGTGCCTACTGTTCAGCTTATGTGAGGCGTCTGACTGTTTGAGCTCAGGATTTCTGATGCATGAGTTTTGCAATATCCAAGGTGTGGCTTGGAACTCAAGATTATTTATCGGACTGTTATTTCTGCAACATAAAGATAAAAGTAATAAGTGGTAGACCCAAGTATACGGTAAAATACCCAAGTATGGCATCTGCTTTGTACCCAGCACCTGATAGGGAGGACTTACCTGCACCACATATCCTTTAAAAAATCTTAGTATAGAATATAAATTAAAAGATGAGGAAGATACCAATATTTAAGATACTAAATTAAATTATTTCATCTTCGACTGAAGGATACTAGAATACGTTCTTTTTGTGACCATCAAAAAGAGTTTCTCGAGTTCTTTTCTGTATAAAAGGATCTAATGTATTGCAACATCATTTGTTCTTTGATGGATTTTTGTACTTTGAGCATAAATATAAGACAACTGAATGGAGACCATCCATCGATATTCGAAAATCTTGTTTGATGGCTGTATTTTTACATGGTGAAAATATTTTTCCTTCGGTACCATTGTCTTTTGCAACCCAAATGGAGGAAACATATGAAAATATAAAAATCATGCAAGAAAAAATTCAATGTACGCTGAGGTGACAAAAGTTATGGGATACCTCCTAATAACGTGTCGGACCACCCTTTGCCCAGTGAGCTTCAAGAGCTCGACGTGGTAGGAACTTAACAAGTCGTTGGAAGCCTTGAGCCATGCTGTCTCTATAGCCACTCATAGCTGCGAAAGTCCTGCTGGTGCAAGATTTTGTATATGAACTCACCTCTCGACTATACCCCATAAATGTTCGATGAAACTCACATCAGATGACTTACAAAGCCAATTCTTTCGCTGGAATTTTTCGGAATTTTCTTCAAACCAATCGCAAACAGTTGTGACCCGTTCACATGGTGCATTGTCATTCATAAAACTTACATCATTGTTGTATACATGTAATCCAAGAATGGATAAAAAAAAGTCTCCAAGTAGCTGAATACAACCATTTCCACAGTCAATGATTAGTTCAGTTGGACCAGAGGACCCAGTCCATTCCACGTAAAAATAGTCCACACCATTATGGATCTCCAACCATCTAGCACAGTGCCTTGTTGACAATTTAGGTCCGTGGCTTCATGGGATACTCGAATGGGATACTTCATGGGATACTTCCATACTCGAATCCAACCTTCAGTTCTTACTAGCTGCAATCGGGACTCATCTGATCAAGGTACGGTTTTCCAGTGGTATAGAGTTCAACTAATATGATCATGAGTCCAGGAGAGGCGTTGTAGTCTATATCGAACTATTATTAGAAGGACGAGTCAGTCTTCCGCTGACATAGCGTAGCTACCGCCATATCAGCCTTATCAATGATACGGGGCCCTCAAGCTACTGAGGCCCCACCATGTGTAACTATTGTCCCACTAACAGGGCTCCCATATCTAAAAAAGGGGCTCCGAAGGAATTTTGATACAGAGCTAGCTACGCCAGTGGACATAGCCCATTAAACAAATTTTGTCTCACTGCCTTAACCCCTTAAGTGCCTCAGGCGTGTATACATGACCGGTTACCTTTAGTGCGTCGGACGTGTATACTCGTCCTTCCAATGGAGAACGTTTTATATTGTGCTGCTCTGTCATTTTCGCTTACCATGTATAAATTCTTAATTTTTTTTATGAATGCGCAGAATGTGATAATGGTTTATGTGTTCATCCATGTTTCAGGATGTATCACAGAACAGATAAGTTATAATTTAATTTTTATTATATTGTTGACTGTAGAGATTACATTTTTTTAAATTTCCTTTCATTATTTTATCTTTTTTTTCTTTTTTTAAAGAGAAAGAAAACACTTTTTCGAAGGAAAAACACACCTTTTCCTTTCCCCAATAAACCGTGTAACAACGCGCACCTGTGGTAAAAACGGTGGGCACTGGGAGGGAGGATTTCTTAATTTTTCCTCGGTAGTTAAGGGGTTAAAGCAGTGTTTTCTCAAAAGTTGTAATATTTGCGACTCAATATTAAATCCATTTTCATCGCCCCTCCCCCCTCATTCATGTGGCCGCGGTGGCCGAGTGGTCTAGGCATCGGATCATGGCAAGTTTGTCATGGGTTCGATCCTAGTACCACTAAAGATCCGCCGTGTAGGGGAGCGATGCACGTTAAATCTGTCGAGAGCTCAAACGTCCTCCCGTTGGTGTGGTGTGGTAGTTAGGAGAGGGGGGTGCCAGCTAAGGTGTCGTCCGCGTCACTTGACCATGGTTCAAAATTACGCGGACCGTCCCCAAAAGCCCTCGTGTAGCTGAACAGTGGGACGTTAATATTCACTCATTCATTCATTCCCCCCTCATTCAAGAACAATGTATTGAATTAAAAAAAACGCAAAAGCTACAATACTACTTTAACCTTTTAAGTGCCACCGGCGTATATAAACGTCTTGCTCAGCTAAAATATTAATTGCCCCGGACGTATATATGCGTCTTTTTAAAGTACGATGTTTTCTGTTCACTGCTATTCCTAAAAGTTTTCCGAAGGCTTTGGAATGGAATAAAAAACCTTAACAATGCTTGAGAAGGATTTACTTACTTCAGATTATTTGCTTATTTATTCCTTATTTCACCCCCTCCAGTATATCACATATGCGCGCTTATGTGGAAAACGGTTGGTGTTGGAGAGTGCATCGCGTAACTTTTAGTCGGCAGTTAAGGGGTTAATTATAAACCGTACTAATTATCAAGAGAAATGTTAATTTTTGTACATAGTTTATATGTAATAATCCCATAGGGTCACAGGTAATTAATAAACTTGTTCTTAACTTAGTATGTTAGATAAATTATAAAAAACATTGTGTAGTACTGATACATTTATATGTATATTATATCAGTCTTATGTGCGTTTTATTTTTTATTATGCAATAATGCATTTTTTGTTTACTTTCAGTAAATTAATAATTTTTAATCATCTTTTGTTTTTGGCTTTTCAATATGCTCACGCCCCTCTCGTAGAGTTGTCATGCCCCCTTAGGGAGGCGCACCCACAGTTTGAGAAAGGCTGAGTTAAAGAACACGTTCGTCGTAGTCCCACATTTGTTTTTACCGTTATTTCACGCAGTGTTGCTTATCTGTTAATACTGACAATTATGACAATTTGTTAACAATGACACACGTCGCTGGTCTTGGACATTAAGTGGCCACGGTCAGTCACTGTGTTGTGAACAGTGGGGTTGTACCTAAAATATATAAGAATTCTCTATACACTCTTGACACTGTAGATCTCGGAATGCTGAATTTACAAACTATTTCCGAAATAGAATATCCCATGGGTCTTGCTCCAATTGCCATTCAGCTTTCAAAGCCTACTATTTCCTGTCGTGCGTCCATAATTACGTCAGAATCCTTTTCACATAAATCTTTTGAGAACGAATGAAAACTCGCCAATGCACAGCCCATTTATACATCTTGTACACAAATGCTACTCCCATCTGTATTTTTGTGTAGTGCTATTCCATGACTTTAATCACTTCAGTATAACAAGTTTTATGAGACAATATGTTGAGAGTTCAAAGTCGCTGCTTTGATTATACTTTTTTTGTTTGTTGCAATCGAATGAATTTGTTTTCTTCCTCAGACAAGAACGACTCTGCGAGCGAAGAGGTGCTTAAGGACCTGGAAGAGATCGACGACGATGCCGACAAGAGCGGCATCTCCTTCGTCAAGATCAGCGACGAGGTCCTCGCCCTCGAGTTCGGACTGGAGACTCTGCCAGCATTACTCTACTATCGAAACAAAGTGCCGCTGCTCTACGACGGTAAGCACTGTGTTCATGGAGCTGGAACTAGGACCGTTTAAAAGCTGTCTTCACCCAATGTTTAAAACTCAGTCTTAAAAGCCTGTGTCAGACACAGAAGAAAAAATGAATAATATTGGTATCGCATTTTGACTTTAACCTAATAATCAGAATTGCATAAGTTGTTTTATTACTTATTATTGCTTGTATTAATTTTTTTAGCAGATCAAGTCTCAAATTCTTAAATGTCAAAAAAATTTCTAATTTTTCATATTATAAATCGTATTAGGATAAAAAAAATGATTATTTGTTGAATTATCTAAACAAATTTCAAATGTCACGTTCTTATTAATGATATATGGAACCCACATGAATTAATACCAATATTTTGAAGCATTTTTCCGACTGAATGTGAGAAGTGCTCTTGTTTTGATCAAAATTTTTTACCAAAAATAGGAATCAGCATTATGTGGGTTCAAAAGAAATTGTAATAATTATAGCCCAAAAGGTTTTTTTCAAACAAATTTCGTACAATTGAATTAATAGTTTCTAAGGAGAGTAATTTTCATACCACGCGGGAAAATTCTTTTTTAATTTCATAAAAGAAAATTTATAAAATATTACAGGGACATATATTTTCTTCATATTAATATTTATTAAATCACTTAGAATAAGTTCTGTATTCATAAATTTTCTTGGTCGATTTTCTACTAGTCTCAGCGTATACTTTCAATGGGTCCCAACCCACGTGGGGATTGATGGTAATGAGAAGGCCGATTTCTTGGTCATGACTGTGGTTGAGGAGGGAGGGAGCCCTAGTGGGACTTTTATGTTTCGCAAGTTATCCCCTTTAGGAAGATTATTCTAAATCAACTTGGAAGAACTCCTTCAAGTCACATCTTTGATATTTCAGAAGAAACCCAAGATGTCCATTCAAGTTTAAGCCTTGGAAATATCAAACGCCCTTCTCGCGCTTTATAAGCTGCCATATAAAATCAGTCACTCATCATTGATTTTAAAATAATAAAAAAAATTTTGAAGCAGATAAAAAATGTTTTCTTTATTTTCTATTTGATTTTTTTAGCGACTTTGTGGAGTAGTCGGTTTTTCTCTGGTCTTGTACGCCCAAGGTTGTAGGTTCAATCCCGGCCGAAGTCAGTGGATTTTCATGATGCAGAAAATCGTCAGCTTTCCTGTCGTATGATTATGTGACATGTTAAGAATCCCTAGAGTGCCTGTTTGGCTTGAGGGCTCCCTGCAAAAATAAATTTTTTATTCCATTTCGCATCAGAAGAGCTCAGGTACCTCCCTCTAGGGAAGAAACTGGGTGTAAAATTTAAATTGCGGCAATTGGTATTCCACCTATTTGGTTCCTCACTAAAAAGTGATACCAGGCTCCGGGGAATGTACTAATTCTGCAAGGGTAAATACCAATCCGCAGCCCGTTTTTCAAATAAAAAAATATATTTGATTTGTTTAAAATCTTCTTCAAGTTTTTATTAATTAATTAATACGGTTAAACATATGTTTATTTAGTATTCTTGCCTTTTAATAAACCCCTTTCTTTTATTTGATGAATTCAATTTTTAAAGGATCGTGATGTACATCAACTGTTAGTAAAATAAGTATTTTTTCTAAAGTACTGATTTGTATAAAAAAAATTTTTTTGCTACTTACATTTCTTAAACACTACTACAAGTATTTAAAGGCATGACTACCACAAAAGCCTTAAAACCTAACTAAATTTTACTAAAACATCTAAATGCATCATATATGGAATCTTTGTGTTATGCATTTCGTTGTGACAAATTAATAATGCATTATTGTCAGGATCCGAATTTTGTGATTAAATCTTATCTTTTTCTAAATATATAAGATAGTTCCAAGATAACGCACCATTGACCACAACTTCGAGGTGAAAGAAATGTATATTTATTGGATCAGGGTTAGGCAATTTCCTAATTTCGAAGCATTTCTTAGTCTTTGTCTTAAATTTCAATTTTTTTTTTTTTTTTTTTTTTGATATTTTAAGCATATTTCTAGTCAAAGTATATTAACTGAATCAAAGCCTCATTCTTCTCTTTAAATCAGGGTAGGGTAGCTTGTTTTGGCAAGCGGACCGCATTATGGGCGAAATAATGTGGCTTTTTTAAAATGATTCCAATCATTTAAAAAATAATAATAAATACAAGTTAAATAAAATAGGGGCAATTTTATTCAATCTATTTATTGTGCTAATTTTATATAATCTATAACTGCAAGCACAGGTTATATAAAATTTTAGAAGGTTTTTGATGAGACAAATGTACCCTTTTCGAACTCCCCCTATTCATTTTTAGTGCGTTTTTCACGTAGTGGAACAAATGCGCTATTAGGACGCAAATTTCGTCTTCGTCTTCGTTCCATATTTTGTCGTACCTTTTTCTCAGCCAATAAGCAAACAATTGACCTCGGATTTTCGGCATTTGTGCCCTAGATGAGCCGAATCATATTTAAATTTAATCATTTTTATAATTTTTTTTAGTACAGTACTACTTTCTGTTAGTAAAAAGTCGATTAGTTGCATTATTGTAAAATACAACATGTGAAAAACGCGCTAAAATTACTTGGCCATGCCAATAATTGATATCTTGTTTAAATGAAGAGTGCGATTGCTTGTTGCAAATTCTCCCCACAGCCTGCAAGTTTTTTTCCTCCAACTTGCATTTATCTTGTTGGTCTTCCTGCAAGATAAGTTTTGCTCACGAATATGTGTTGACTGAAATATAAAGAACAATTTCTTCATACATAGAAACTTTTCAACTGACAAATATTTGTGCAAGGCATTCAAGGTTGTAGCATAAAACATTTCCTTCACACTGGGATCTAAGTTCAAGCTGTAGCTCCTCAGGTGCTGCATCAATATCAGCAGTAATGGAAAAACAGAGCAAATTGAGTTTTGGGTCAAATTTTTAAAAATTCTGTGATCTTGTGACCTCGTCCTCCAAACACAGCAGATGATCTCTTTCTCGAAACACTTTCGGGTATTTTGTTTTTCTAATTAATAAACAAAGGAATTCTGTTTTCCTAATAGTGAAAAATACAAGATGAATCTTTAAACACGTACGGGAAAGAAATTTCGATTCAAACTGGATTTTCTGATTATCTTGGAAAGCCGCAAAAAAACTCTTTGAGGGCCGCTATTTGTCCACCCCTACTTTAACTCATTTTTTTTCTTATAATAATTGTCTTTAATAGAATATCTTGGCAAAAATACTTAGATTTTTTTGTAATATGTAGAACTATTAATTCATTAGAAAACTGTTATTATTAGTTAATAGATTTCAACAAACGCAACATTATTTAAACGTTACATTTCAAAATACTTTTAAAAAATTCTTATTAATTTTAGATTTTTTTGTAGTTAATATTAAAAAAATTACTAATAGCTGAGTGTGTGATAATGATTGCATATCCTAATGCCCTAGATATATTATTTCATTTAATAGTTCTAGAACAATTCCCTTATGACCATCCCATAACGTATTTTAGGAAACCTCCATGACGAGAAACTTGTTCTGAATTGGCTGGAAGCCCACAAGGATTTGGATGCTGACGTCATTGAGGATATATCCAGCAACATTTTACCGGCACTTATAGATAACACCACATTTTTGGCCGTGCTCTTTTGTAAGTGCTTAGAAATATTCTACATTCAAATATTTACATATAATACGTTATTCTGTTAACAAATTTTTAAAACGAAAATTTTAGGAGCCATTTTGTGAAATAAAATGCAAGTTTATAGCTTTATAAAAACGAATAAATAGTAAATTTTACTAAATATTTCTCACAAATTTGAGAACTCTTAAAAAAATTCACAAAGTTTTAATTAAGTGAAATACAAGTGATATAATGTGGAAGTTGTCAAATATAATTTAGAAATGAAGAATTTATTATAAAATCATGCAAAGTGAAATGTTTTATTTTTTTTTAAAGAGGAAGCTTCCCTTAAAATCAACACGCGGCATATGATTTATCTAAATTCCTTTCTTGTGTAGATGACAAGAATGACGATAAGAGCCAGACGACTTTGCTTGAATTGGAAGCCATCGACGACGACGCTAGCAAACACGGAATTCCATTTGTTAAGATTTCTGATTTAGAGGTGGCCTCAGACTACGGAATAACAGAGCTCCCGGAATTGGTCTACTTTGAGAAAAAGATTCCAAACTTTTATCAAGGTACAAAATTTTAAAAAAAATCATTTACATTATTTTTCTACATACATATATGTTGGTCTTCTAGATAGTGTAGTTGGAATCTCATGCGTATAATGGCAGCAATATAAAAATAGAATGAGCCTCAACATTATTTAATATCAATAAAAAATAAATTCTAATTGAATAGTATAGATAAGGGTACTTAATTTACGATAGTGACTTCTATTTAAAAAGGGCATGAAGGCAGGAAGTTCTTGAACAAAACATATGTAACAGATTCTTGTGATCTTTCTAGTGGGAAATAGCAGAGTGCATGTAGTACATAAATAGTTATGTTTAATTTTTACAGCTTACAACTATAAAAATTATAAGACTATTTAATCCTTAATCCTTAATTATAAGACAATCAAAAGGTTACGCTCATTGGAAAAATATCATAAACATTCTATTTGAAATGCAAAACATGCCACATTTAATATTTTGAGGATTAGACAGTTGTTATTGTATAAAATAATTAGAGTTCATTCGTTGAATCTAATAAGGTTATATACTTTAACTGATTTGGTGTGTATTTAATACAACATTAACTTTTATAAGTCATAATTTTTAACGCCATTACATTTCTTTTGATAAGTATCTAATGAGTTACTTAAAAAAAAGTGTTTATTTTTTTCTCGTTAAAATTTGAATTTTTAAGGCTTAATTTTAAAATATTCTAAGTAAATTATTTTTAAAGAAATCTTTGCAAAAAAATGTTCTCAAGTCTTACGTGTCTTATGACTTTTCAGAAAGATGAAACTTGTAAATCTGAAATGTTCCTAAGATCGAATTATTTTATAATATAGTTGAGCGTTAACTCAAAGAGTAATGAATAACGGGAACGCCATTCTTTAAATAATAGTTATTCTAACTTGTTTCTAGAATTCAGTACACGCAAAACTTCGGGAAAAAGCAATGTTCTTCTGTTTTGAAACTTTCAAATAACTGCCGTGTCCGATTGCAGGTGATCTGAGTAACGAAGAGGAAGTCTTGAACTGGCTCATCCATCAAAAGGAGAGCGATGAGATAGAGGACGTCACAAACAAAGTTCTTGCTCAGATGATCAAGACCTCGGATTTCCTGGCAGTTTTGTTTTGTAAGTACCTCCAGGTTTTCTCGGGGTATAACACTTTACTCAATTATAGATTAATTTGTCAACTCTCTTAATGATGTAACGAAGTTGGATCTTTGTGTGTTGAAATAAATTCAGTGGAAAAACAAGGACTCTAAATATTCAAATATTTATATATGTAGGAATTACCATTTAATACAATATATGTATGTAAAATCCAAAGTAGCGCCTCTATCATTTACCTGAAAAGAAAGGATAGCCTATGAAAGGCGCATCGCTTTCTTAACAAACCCGAAGGTAGATTACTCTCGTCGTGCGAGGCGGACACCTGTAGTTGTTTGAATTTATCTTCATCTTTTCGAACCCAAATTCCATAAGAATTCTCTAAAAAATTTTAAAAATTAATCAAGTTTATTAAGTATTATATCTTATGATTTAGTGAGGCCCGAGTTATTTCTGTCTGAAAATAGACGCAATCTTTTTCATAAAAAAAGTTCATAACCTTTAAAATTATAAAATGATAATCCCATCCTATAAGAAATTCACATCATGCATGTCATGTAATTAATTCTGTGCTCAGATGTGCTTTACTGGAAAAATGTTGGTTTAAAGGATTTTTTGTAATAAAAAAGGATTTATTGTAACTTTAATAAACATTCCTTTGAACTATTTTATTACTTCCAAACGAAAACATTCATTTCCAAACACTTCAGTGCATTGCAATTGCTTTTCTCTATAATGGTTGTGATGATTAAAAAATTAATGTACTAAAGTTTTCAAGCTTGGGAAGTTTGGTGTGTAAACAATGTTTCTTATTCGCTTAATTCGAACAATTGTAATTTGAA